GCCGTCCTACCCGTGTCAAGCCATTCTGGGGTGCTGACTACCCATGTCAAGCCATTCTGGGGTGCTAACTACCCATCGGTCCTAACAACCGATCCTCGGGGACTGGTCCCCTACTACTACCTCTATCGTGTAACATATCAGGCCAGCATACAAACATATCGTCACATACTGTCAGACATTTATGGGGTGTCTGACTACCCTTCGGTCCTAACAACCGAACTCTACTACTATCACATATAACATATCATGCTAGCATATAACATATCAGGTAGTAGCAAACCTAGATGATATCACAAAGACAATCATCTATCATACGTCTCCTACTGGTGGGCCGACATTGTGGCCTTAGACCCACCGCTACTGGAAGGTAACTCACCTCAAAGTAGCTGCTGAACTGATCGGGAACTGACTGACTGTTGCTGCTGCTGCTCCGAAAATCCTCCAGCTGCAATTCCCACAACATACTCAATCAAACACTGCTAACTGTCCTTTGGGTAAAATGACCATTTTACCCCAGGTCTAGCCCTAAGTCAAAGTCAGAGTCAACTTTCAATTGACCCGACTCGCCAAGTTGGCTCTCCAACTCGCCGAGTTCCTATCCAGACGATTGTCCTGAGTCCCTGTTTCTACTCGTCGAGTTAGGCTATGACTCGACGAGTTCTTCTTCTAAACTGACATTTAAGTCCTTCATCCTACTCGCCGAGTTGTATGAACAACTCGTCGAGTTCATCTTCATCCGATGAACACTTATGCGGAGACTCGCCGAGTTGTATGAACAACTCGCCGAGTCTGTTCTTGATCTAAGGAGATTGCCTTGAACTCGCTGAGTCAGGGAATCGACTCGCCGAGTTCCTCCATAGATGAGTTTAGCTTCCAACTCACTGAGTCACACCCCGTGACTCACTGCACACTCGACACTATAAAAAGGGTACAAATTCGAAGACTCGCGAGCAGACTCGCCGAGTCGTTGCCATGCACCTACAAAATACACAGAATTGCTCGATTCCAGTCCATGCCATTCATAGATCTGGGTTTCTAGGGCATGGATTACACGTAAAGTTTCCAACTTTACGTGTAGATAATCACCAATGAAGGTTTTACGGCTCAAAGTGCACCAAAAGGGGTAGATCTAGGGCTTTCATGCAATATAACCCCATAAAGGCATTAGATCCAAGCTCCAGGGACTAAATCATGCCAAGATCTAGAGGCTAACAACTTATTACAACCCACAATGCACAAACAAGCTTGGGGGATGGCTCAAGAAGGACTTTTATGAAGCTAAAAGAGACTACAAGCTTGAAAACAGAGGGGAAACGAGCTATACCTCAAGGAAAACGTTGAGATGACACAAAGATGCCTGGCCTCCTTCTCCTCTTCTTGATCTACTCTTCTTTCTCCTCAAAATCTTCAAGAACACACCAAAACACTTCAATCTCACAAGGAATAAGGTTATAAATGATGTTGGGAGCTCTGAGGGTGAATGGGGGCGAGCTTGGGGCGGAAATGAGGGTTTAAATAGGGTGTAAACCCTTGAAATTTAGGGTTTCATCCAACAGCGGTGACTCGCCGAGTCCAGGATATGGACTCGCCGAGTCGCCAACTTAAATGTGTCCCGGGTCCCGTCCTTACTCGGCGAGTCGGATCTATGACTCGCCGAGTCCAAGGTTAAAAATGGAAAATACTCAAATAAGATTTACATACCAGGAACCAGGTGTTACAATCAAGATTGACAAATAGTTGGGGTCCAAGTCGAGCCAAAGACATTAAAAAATGGCGGCTAACCGGGAGGCAACCCGGGGGTATTTATGTCATTTCTTATATTTTCATTATATTTTCTTTGTTTTCAATCTTCCAAATTGTTTTTCATGTTAAAAGAGGGTTAATAATCATTTTTCAGGCAGTAGAGGTTTAGCGGGTTGCAAATCGAAAAAGTGAAGAAAAAAAAATGGCCTTCACAGGAGTTTACACGGCCGTGTAAACTTTTGCCTATAGTTTCCACGGGCCGTGTAAACGACCAAACCATAGTATATTAGATTCAACGTTTACACGACCATGTAAATGCTACCCTTTAGTTTATATGGGCCGTGTAAACGTAAAAATAGAGTTGGACGATTTTAAAGCTAAAACTCGATTTTTTAACTCATTCTTTTCACATAAACTACGAATTTTCTCCTCCCTACTGCTCCCTTCGAAAAAACCCTTCAAAATTCTCAATCTTCCTCAATTTTACATCAAAAATGTCACACCCCGGCCGTCGGCGGAAACACCGGGCAGTGTAACGTCATTTCTCGTATCATAGTTATCAACTTCTTGAAAACACATGCAATTTAAAATACATCAACATAAAGTTGGTGAGTTCACAGGTTTTGACTCCATTTAAAAATAACACTTTTTCTCAAGTTCAAAAGTATAGTTTTGAAAGTATCATTTTGACTCTCCAACGTTTAGCATATATATCCTAGGTATAAAATTTTACTTACCAAATAAGTAGTTTACCTATAAGTCTCATATACTATGAATATAAGTGTTTGTAATTCCATACAAATGAAACTTGCTACGTATAAATCTTATTTCAATTCTATACGAGTAAAACCGCTACGTATAAATCTATTTCAATTCTATACGAGTATCTGTGTTAGGTATAATTATCTACTTAGTATACAAGTAGTATACCTACCAGTTTCTTGTACCTAGAGTATAAGTGTTTGGGAAACTTATACTTAACATTGATACTTATATAACGAAAAAGTATAATGCTTCTAACAATTTGCTACCATGAGTCCGTAACCGCGGCTATATGACTAGTTTCAAACCTCTGCTTGATGCTACAAGCTTTGCATCTTGAGATAGGTTCCACATGCTTCATCAATGTCGGAACAATAAACAAACAAAAGGATAGTTCGTCACACGCACACGGTTTTGTTGTAGCTAGCAACCACGAGTGGGGTTGTCAACCCGTATCTTATTCATACACGACTTCCTTGCTCACACGGGATTAACGGTTACAGGTCAGAGGATTTTCCCTAAGATTTCCAATCTTAGTTGATGAATACAATAGCTCATGTAGACTTGTCGAGTTCCGTTAGTTCTAGTAGTAAAATCATATTCGTGTCTAAAACCCTAAGTTATTAGAGTATGCTTTTAACATTACTCCTAATATTCATAATACTTAGGTAGTACAGCAACTATAATTAGAATTAAAACCAGGTTTTATCTTGACATAAAACCAATAATAACAACATATAACGTTTATAGTTTTATCTTGACATAAAACTAACAATAACAACATATCCAGTTTTATCTTGACATAAAACTAATAATAACAACATATAATATATCTAGTTTTATCTTGACATAAAACTAATAATAACAACATATAACATATCTAGTTTTATCTTGACATAAAACTATTAATTGCAACATACTATGTAACTTAACATATAAAACTTCCGAATATAACTTCGGAACTATATCGCACACAAAATATATATAGAATCCTAAGTATAACTCAAGATCTACATTAATATATTAACATACCGATAAGTTGATAATCGTTGTATATATTCAAAATATTATATTTAGAACAACTATACCCCGACTATTATAACTATATATTATCATATAGACATAATAATAACATATATACAATGACTAGCATGCGTTTTCCCCCGAAATATTAGAAAGTCGGGCCGTGAAACTCACCTTAGTAGCGTGATTTTTATGATATCTAAGTGAAACAGTCAGCGTGCGAGTTTGTCGGGGCTCAGGATGCAAAAGGGCTCCAGCAAGTAAGAGAGGAAGAAAGGAAATGGTGTAAGGAAGTGAATGGGTCGAAGCCTTTATTTATAGTAAGATTTTATAACACTCATGTCGTGAGTGTCATAAAACTCACGTTGTGAGTCTCATGACTCACTCCGTAGACTTGCCATTTGCGTCTCTAGCTTCGAAAGGTGGCCATGTGACTCCTCACGCCGTGAGTGTCATAAAACTCACGTCATGAATTTTGGATCTTATCCTCTCCCAGCTTCTAGATTCCGAATTATGACAGAATTTCGTGAGCGTCATAAAACTCACTTTGTGAATAAGCTAGTTTAGGGTTTTTAAAAGCTAAATCTTTGGAATGCCATAACTTTTGCATACGAACTCCGTTTTTGATATTCTTTATATGCACACGTAGGTATTTATGATGACTACAACTCTCTTTTAGACATAAATAGCTAATTCTAAGTCTATTTAAATTCCTATTATTATAGAGATTTATAGTGTTCGGTTTATCATAACTTCTTCATGCGAAGTCAGATTTAGATGTTCTCTATATTTTTGGAATCGTATGGACATATACTTTGATTTATACCATAAAGTATGTATGAAAGTTCATATTTATATTAGAATTATCATGAAATACATAGTGAGTTTACTACATTACTAGTTTAACAAAATCACATTACATGATTGGTATAATCACATGTGATTGTTCTTGACCTACTTTTGACTAGTGTTACAAAAAATCAAGCTCCAAGGTATGGATTCTTCTCTTTTCTTCATCTTCTTTATCTTCTACCTATATTTCACCCTTTTCATGGTCGATTTTGAGGTTTTTGGGCAAACCCTAGAATTTTTTGAACTTCAAAATCTCGAACTAATGCTTGAAATTTCTTGTAGGATAAGCTTTGGGAAAGCTTGGGGAAGCATTGGATATCACCCTACCACCATTATCAAGAAAAAATTGGTATAATTGTTCCAAACTCTTACTTTGTGCATTTAGATAGAACCATATTCCTTTTTGGGTGATTTTTGGTGAAACTTGCTAGTTCTTGTGCTTCAATTGTCCTAAATTGTGTGCAATACTTTGTTGATTCATTTGGGTAATGGATTCCCGAGGTGAAAGATCTAGAATTGGAACTTCACATGATGAACAAGATCCACACCCCATGGACAATCCTTATGAATTTGGTCTTATTTTTTAGACCAATCGACAAGAAATCTTGTATGCAAATCTTATGAACAGAACAATGGGAGCTCAAAAGTTTGTGGACATTCAAGACCTCAAGGATTTACATATCTATAAAGGTGTCCACAAACTCTTCAAAAACATAGGATGGGAAATTCTTTTGAATCTACATGCACTTAGCTATCAAACACCAATGTTGGAACTTTTGTCCTCAATCACCTTTGACTATCAAACCCATCTCCTTACTTTTCATTTGCTCAATCAAACCCATCAATTTCATGCTGACATCCTTTGTGATATCATTTGTGCTCCTAAAGTAAGAAGGGATGTATACACAGCGAAGGGCAGAAAAAATGTCATTTTTGAGCAAAACTATGCAAGTTTTTGGAGAAGCATCTCTTGTGAGTATGAGTATCAGTCAGGTACAACCAAAGCTTCTAGCATTATCCATCTGGTCTTAAAAGTCACCCACCGGATCATTGCTTCTCTCCTATTTCCTCAAGAAGATATTAGTAAAGCTAATAAGAAAGAGTTAGAAGTTTTGTGGTGTATGATTAACAAGCCTACAGAAGTCCCTCATTTTGGGTGTTGGGTAATTAAAAAAATGCTTAGAAGTGCTACGAGCAATGGTGGGAAGCTACATTGTGGAGGCATGATTTTTATTATTGCTGAGCATCTTGGCCTCCATCTACCCAATAACCCAACAAATATATTCACAGGCCGTACTCGTATATCAATTGATGTTATGGAAACAATGCATCTTTTCCACCACCTTCCCACTGGAGATGTTCATTGGACAGTAGATGGCAAAGAGTATCTACGCATTGACAGCAGAAACAAGAAGATACTTAATTTAGCCAATGACATTCCATCAACCACTTGGCAACTCAAATCCAACTTAGGTGTTGCAATAAATCATAGTCCTCCACCATCTCCTCCTTCTGTTCCTACTGCTGGTGCCTCTAGCTCATCTCGTCCCATTCCTTTTCCTGAACACAATCTCTACATGGGAGAGTTTGCACGCTTGAACCACCGTTATACCAACTTACAATAGGAAGTCGGAGAAATTTATATGGGTGTCACTGAAATCACTTTTGATTTTCAGGACTACCGTAACTTGCAAGAATAGCATTGGGCCCAACAAGAGTTGCGGTGGGCTGAACAGGATTAGAGATGGGTCGCTCAAGAGCAGCACAACCGCAACATTCATCACCTGCTGAGCGATATCCATAGAGTTCTTGTGCTCCCCACATAGCCACAACAACCATCATCATCCCAATGGCCCCCATACTATCTTGCAAATTATCCGTCACAGTTCCCTCCATATCCACCGCCCGGTCCTCAATAGGTCGGCTATGCCTCTCTCCAAGCATCAAGGATGATGCTTATTTTAAGCTTGGGGAGGGGCATCCATCCATGCATTATCCCGTTGCATGTAGGTTGCATATAATTTTGTACATATTGCATTGCATTGCATTATTTTTATTTTTCATTTTTTTCTCTTTGTCATTCGTAGAGTAGAAAAAATTTCAAAAATTCAAAAAAAAAATTGATCCAATCCCAAACAACCAAATCTTCTCAAAACAGTTGAGATGGTAAGTGAGTTGTGTGCCTTGAGATTTAACCTGCTCTTTTTATTAAAAATCTAAAAGCAAGTTAATCACACACGAACACACCTTCCGAAGCTACTTGTGCAAAACAGAAAGTGAGAAGATTGTCAACATTGGAGCATAACAGCAGGTATGAGTTAATTCTTTGGGACATATGACTGGTCTTATGAGTAGTAATGCTCAATTGAACTTAAAATGCCAAATTCAAAAGTTCATAAAAAGAATGCAAAATCTCAATGTCTCGAGCTTTCCGGGGCTCTTAAAAGTCCTTTCTACTCATTCCTTTTTACATACCCTGCTTGGGGACATAGCTTCCAACTATACTTACGGGTCTTTGCATGTTAACTTTTAGTCCCCTGAAAAATGTCTTAGAAGTTCTCACAGTAATAGACCGTGAGATGTCCCACAATAGAAAAGTCAAGGACGAAAATATAAAGAAATTGGACAAATAAATAAATAAATAAATAAGAGTGTTCTGTGTTAACTTAATTATTTGTATATGTGTTGCTTAAAAATTATATATATATATATATATATATATATATATATATATATATATATAACTAATATTAAGTTAATCTGTGAACTTTAGGATTCGAACAAGTAAACTCTGTGGGGTGTTTTACACCTAATCGCCTAAAGTTGAATACTTTGGGACTGATTGTTGAAAATTTGTTACATGGGTTCCATGGAAAGTCATGAACTTAATAATAGCAAATAAAGCTAATATGTGGCCTTTGAGGTTCAGGCAAGTAAACCCGTTGGATCTCTTTAAATCTAGCACACTAAGGTCATTTGGTTTGGATGTGTTGGTTGGAAGCCCGTTACATGGATTTCAAAGAAAGCCATGAGCTTTATTTGTAAAAAAATGTAATTAGGAAGTTTGTATATAATTATGTTTATAGTTTCATTGAATATTATGTTTAGGAAAAATACTTGGCTGTCAAAAGATTCCCTTGGACTTGGATTTGAACTTATGACATTGGACTGAATGTTAATTACTTTGACTGGTGTAAGTGGTTTGAAAGTTGTAACCAATCTGGATAAATATTAAGGAATTTTTAGAAAAGATTTTTCAGAAAAAGATTGTTGTTGACTAACAAATAGCTGGAATCGGACATTGTTATATTTTATGAAACAAAGATGGTTGAGCATGTTTTGTCACATATAATTTCACGAGAGTAAGACCATAATTTGTTCCAGGAATTGACTTTATGATATTGAAAAGGAATAAGTATTGTGATCTTTGATTCTGTTGAGTTGTATTAGGGAGTGACCAAAGTCTTGTTTCTACTATCATATAATATTTTGAGACTAAAAGCCAAGTTAACTCAAGGCATGACAGGTACATTCTCAACTATGATATAAAACAGGGTAGTTGGGTTGGATCTTTTTTATATTTGTTTTGATTTCATGCATTAAGTTTCAAATAGTTTTAACCTTATTTTTTTTCTTCTGTTCTATTTTATTTTCTCTAGTTTAAATCTTCTTGTTCTTTCTTGAGGACAAGAAAGGTTCAAACTTGGGGAGATTTGTTAGGTGCATTTCATGCATTCATTTTGTAGTTTTAGTTCATAAAAGTGCATTGCATTTAGGTTTAAACTCATGCATTTTGCATATTTTTCGGGATTTTTCATGATGCAATTCCATTCACACACTTTTATGATATTTCAGGGATTTTTGAAGGTTGGATCTTGATGAGGGAAGTTAAAAAGAGTTGGAGGCAAAGTTTCAGAAGTTTTTAAGCATTGAAGAGAGAGAGAGAGAGAGAGAGAGAGAGAGAGAATGAAGAAATAAAGAATTTGGTTTCATAGGAGTTTACACGGCCTTGTAAATGATAGCTTATAGTTTACACGGGCCGTGTAAACGCATATACAGGGGCATTCTACTTCGAAGTCCTGTACGGATTGAGCATTCTACTTTTCTAGTTTACACGGCCGTGTAAATGGCACCCTTTAGTTTACACGGGCTGTGTAAATGTCTCGACAGTTTTAAAGTAGTTTTACTCTCATATAATTCAGACAATCAGTTTAGTGGGAAGTTAAGTCGGATTTTGGGCAGAGAGAATGCGATTTTCAGAACTTTTGGAAGGAGATTAACACTTGGAAACACTAAAATTTCCTTTTTGTAAGTCAATTTGAAGTTTAAACTTGTTTGATTTGTAGTTTAACCTAGACATGTGTGGTTGATTTCATTATCATTTCCGAATCTGAATTCTTAAGTATGTGTTGTTAGATTGTAACTTGAACTTGATTTGTGTTTAACATCTAGTAATCTTTGATTTGATCTTAATCATGTGTTCGGTTGATTCCCTTTTGCACTTGATCAATGAATTAGGGTTTTTATCAATCTAGTTAATCAAATTGTAAAATTTGTATATGTTTTATGATTTGATGTTAGTAACATGCACTTAATTGATTGTAACTGAATCAAACTGAGTGTAATCAAAGATTAAATGTTCATAATCCCAAGCTTATGAGGAATATTGAATATTGTTGGTAATTGTTGCAAGAAGTTAAAGTCATTTAATGATTTGATGAAAGAGCTTATTTGAATTAAATCAATTAAATGAAGTTTTATTTGAAGAACATGTTTTCAATAAAACAATTTTGTCAACTTGGATGTTAGAGTTTATTAGTATCTAAATTACCAACCTAGATAGAACATAATCATATTCATTTTGCATCTTTCAACATAATACATGTATAAGAATCAGAATCAGAAATGTATTTCTTTTATTATATTCTGTTAATAATCTTGTTTATTTATGAAGTTTAAATCTAGTTTAAACACAAGCCCCCATTTTAATATTATTTGTATCAAGTGTGAAAATATGGCAAGATAAGAAGTCTTGTATCCCTGTGGACCGACCCTGCTTACTCTATACTATTTTTAGTATAAGAAATAACAGTGATTTGAGCTTTATTAATATTATTTTATCCCATTATTTGTTGGTTTGACAACCAAACATATATATATATATATATATATATATATATATATATATATATATATATATTTGAGTTCTACATGTTCTCAATTTTTTGCATAACTACTTGGAAGCAATAGGAGACCCTTGTGCTGCCATGTGGCAAGAGGTTAAGATTGCACAAGTTCAATCAATATGAGTTAGGATTTGTCACTAACCTAGTCTTGTGATTATGGTTTTGACAAATCCACGTGGATAAGAACACATACACCATAAAATCTAAGTGTCATAAGGTTTCTCTCTGATTCATGAAAATGATGGTGAGGAAATTCTTTCACTAAGTAGATTTTAAGTAGATAGCAATTGTGATATTTGCAGTTCTCAAAGTCGTTAGTGGAGCGTGCATGGTTAACCGACACACTAACATTGACTTATGTGAAATGGAAAAAAGTCTAAACAATTGAGATTATGATTATGGCATCCCTTTTCATAGTTCTGAAATTGTTTAGACACACATGTGAGCTATCTAAGATAAGGTCTATGATTTTGATAAATCTTATCAAAGCAATCTAGTATCAGAAATTTGAACTTTGGTAAGAACTTTGGTAAGAATGTCAATAAATTCATATATATATATATATATATATATATATATATATATGAATTTCATGTTAGATTGGTTCAACTTAAGAAAATTCTATATATTGCGTTCTCAAAATTCGATTATAATTACGGCATCCCTTTTCATAGTTAAAATTTTGAGAATATGGCAAACAAAAATTATATGGCAAAAGACTGGTCTAGAACCATGTCTTTATGTGAAACATCATGAATCGTGTCACATTTACTTTGGGTACAAGATCGATTACATGTGCTATAATATTTATCATTTCTGAATTTTCCAAATGCCTTGGGGCATTAAGGGAAAATGTCTAGAATTGGATATGACTAAAGTGATTAAGCAATTGTCGAGGACAATATAATGTTTACCAAAGATTGGTTGCTCAAGGATAGTTGGAAGTATACTGTTAATATTGGAATGACCATATTGACATAGTCTGAAAAGAAGCAACTCTTGTTCAGAAGTGGTAGTTAAAATGGGAATATGTTTGATTGCTTTACATGGTGAATTAATTGATAGAAAAAAATGGTGCTTGATTATGCTTACATGGCATGGATGTGAATTACACATACAAATAATAGTATATTGTCTTGTTTATTTCTTCATGCATGTAACACATATGTTATGGTTGACATCTTTTGGACATGTTAGACTATTTGTATGCTTGGGTGGACGTTATTGAAATTAATATTCATATTTTGATAAATCCTATGGGGAGGAGGCAACAAACCAATACACACAAAGAAGCAAAGTTCATGTAAAACAAGTAAGTATAAAGGGAACAAAAATGAAATACATACTACATAACTCAATGTACATCGATGTCATCTGTTTATTCATCATACAAGAAATACTCATCCCAACTACAACATGTTTAAGATCTTTGAATATGAGCATATGAGTAAAGTCATATAAACCATTATGACAAGCTCAAGGTAGATTCTTATCGACATCAAATCATGATTGACAAAAGTACTTCCATTTCTTTATGGAATCTTTAAGATCAAAGTACTCCCATCCCCTACTACTAGATAGATAATATAAATGACCAAAAATATACATCTGATGCTCAATTATTTATGAAAAGAGAAGTTTAAACCCCAAAATACAAGAAGTCGTTTTGGGTTTAAGTTAGATGGTATGAAACTTATCATATAAGAAAAGATCCATAACACAATAAATGGTAAGGAATCAAATGTCCTCCTTTAAACT